GCAGAATCAGTAGGCCCGAAAAAACTGAATTCGTAAGAGTCAAAGCGGAAGATAGAGCGGGGAGCAGAGGGCACAAAATGCAGATCTAGAGACCTCAAATCCCCCTCCCCCTCCCCTTCCCCTCCTCCCGCTCCCTCTCCGCCCTCTCCCGTTTCTCTGCCCTCCTCCCCGCTGCTCCCTCCCTTTCCCCCTTCCCCGCGCGCCACACCCCCTTGCACCTGCGCCCCTGCCATGCTTGCACGTCCGCCTTCCCCCTCCCCCACAGCAGAAGCCTCCCCTTTTGTTACGAGCGGCTCGGCAAAAGCCTGCTGCCCCCCCTGCCCCTTCTGCTCCGCTTCTCCTGCATCAGCAGCACCAGCAGCAGCAGTGGCAGCTGTGCCAGCAGCAAGAGCAGCAGCAGATTCAGCAGCAGTGTCAGCAACAGCAGCAGAAGGAGCAGAAGGAGAACCGCCGTCTTGCTGCTGCAGCAGCGCTGTCACAGGCTGGTGCCGCTGCAGGGAGGGCTTGCGGTGCACAAGAGAGAGCTCCTGATGCAAGGAGGAATCCTGATGCAGGGATAACTCACGGTGCAGAGGGGAATCCCGATGCAGGGATAACTCACGGGATAACTCACGGTGCATAGGGGAATCCCGGTGCAGGGATAACTCACGGAGGAGGGGTGAACCGCGCTGGAGTGATAACTCGCGGTGAAGCGGTGAAGAGCGGTGCAGGGATAGCTCCCTGTGCAGGGGCGAATTGCGGTGGAGGGATAATTCCCGGTGAAGGGGAGAACTGCGGTGGAGGGAGGGGGTGCGGTGGAGGGAGGGGGTGCGGTGCAGAGGTGGATGGGGGGGCAGTGGGGGGGACGAAGACCAGGAGGAGAGAAGCTGCAATGACTTGATACTGCTGGTACACCTCTCACTCTTCCCCTCTCCTCCCTCCTCCCCTCCTCCTCCTCCTCCTCCTCCTCCTCCTCCTCCTCCTCCTCCTCCTCCTCCTCCTCCTCCTACTATTCCGTCTCCTTCTGCTGCGTTTCCTTTATCCCCCGTTTCCCCTTCCCCTACCATTGCTCCTTCTGCCCTCCCCGCGCCCACCCCTTCAGCTCCCCCTTCCGCCCCTTCCCTCCCCACGTGCCCGTCGATTCCCCCCGTCGCTTCCCCCGCCAACCCGCCCCGTGCCTGCGCGGAAATCCGTTCCGCGAATAGCAGAGGTTCTTCCGCCTCCGCCTGGCGCGCCAGGTGCGCCGCCGCGGATGAGCTAGTGGGCGCGGAGGGCCCTCCGGCGGAACCTGGGGAACAGGCGGGAGGGGAGGGGAGGGGAGGGGTGGGCGTGGGGAAAGAGGGGGAGCGCGCGGAGGGCGACGGGAAAGAGGGGAGAAACATTGGCGCAAGGGAAGCTGCGGAGGAAGGACGGGCGGTACGCGCGGGGGCACGAGGAGGAAAGGGAAGTGCAGAAGGATGATAGCGGGGGAAGGGGGGGGCGGGGCACGGGCTGGTTCAGGGACGGGGGCGAGGACATGGGCGGGGACGGGGGAGGAGTCAGTACAAACGGGGGGATCGGCGGGGAGGAAACTTTACCGTTGAGGGATCGGAGGGAGGGCGAGCCGTGGCTGGGCGGCGGCGGGAAGAGAATGTACGACGCGAGCTCGACCGCTTGCGCGTCCATCGATATTGACGGGTACAGGGGCGCGAGCATCGGCGCGCTCGCCGCCATGCTTCCGCCCGCCATCCCCGCCGCTGCCGCGTCCCGCGCGCCCGCGTCCTCGGCCTCCCAGTGCGGCACCCCCGACGACTGCGACAGCATTTCTGCCGCGCGACCGTTCCGCTTACTAGCTTCCTTATTCCTACTCCGCCTCCTCTTCCGTCTTCTCTTCCGCCGCCTCTTCCAACTCCTCTTCCGCCTCCCCTTCCGCCTCCCCTTCCGCCTCCCTTTCCGCGTGCTCTTCCGCCACCGCTTGCGAACCCGTTCTCCTGCTCCGCGCCACCGCGGTCCACCAGCGCGTTTCCTCCGTTGACGGCTCCGCTGACTGAAGTCAACCTAACGAGTCAATAATGAGGCGCCACAGGAGTAGACAGCCCTCGCGTTGACTGCAGTCAACCTACAGAAGTTCGCCCTTTAACGCGCATAGAATCTCGCGTGTAAACAAGCGCGAATTGCCTACTACATAGCGTGTCCCGGATCACTGTAGACATACGCGATGCAAGATGCCTCCTTGCGAGAGACAAGCTGTCGGGGAATGTATTCCACGATGGTGGAGGACAGCTTCTGCCACGCCTCAAACGACGGATAAAAACGCCAACAATAGCAATGCACGTCACGTAAGCACGTCTCAGCCCCTAACATTGCGGAGCGGGGCGGGACGCGACGCACATAGCGGATGAGACGCACATAGCGGACGAGACGCTACACCCGGGCTCCGATAATTTCATTCCCTATAATTGCAAGGCCCCTGTCGTCACATGGGGTCAGGAGCTCGAGCGCTTTGGAGGCTGTCAACAGTGAAGTCGAGAGCTTTACAGCCTGTGACCTGACGCGTCTGCACATTTCCACGCTGGAATGAGCTGGTGAAAGAGATTCGAGAAGGCTCCCAGGCAGGTTTTTCGTGGCCCACAAAGCAAACCAGCCGCACTAGATTCCTACGTGGCATAGAATGGACGGCCCAAGTGAAGGAGATGAATATGGGGGGGTTGAAATTAGGGGGAACTTTTTTGTTCCCCATAATTTCAACCGCTGGGCTAAACGACAGAGGTGCGACCCGGTGCCCCGTCTCTGAAATTATCGGAGCCCAGGTGTATTAAAATAGAGGCAAGGGGAGTGGGATAACCCACGTGTCCCCATATCACCTGTTCTCCGATATTTCCACACCCTGAACTTTGATTCTTCCCAGACACCCTACATGGTTGAAGGTTTGATGAGACGGACGCCCTGACATTGCGGGTCTATCAGGAAATAACCACCAGGTCAAGGCCTTTCGAAACTCGAACTTTGTAGTTCGAGTGAGCGGGGCAAATTCCAGTGCCAGATTGTTCCTGCGTTAAGCTCGCATTGAGATTGTGTTACATTAACCCTGAAAATTCTTCGAGCGTTGCTAACTACCTTCGAAATCGGTTTTTTCGAGGGAAGGTACCCCAGGTCGTCAAGATAAAGGGTGTGGAAATATCGGAGAAGAGGTTGTAATTAGGCTGCCCGTTGAGTGAGTAAAGCGAGCGGCGTGAGGCGGAACAGTTGGCAGAGCTGCATGCGCCTTGGGGGGAAGAGGGAGGCGGCGCTGATGTTTTTTGGGCGAGAAGCGACAAGGGGGAAGACGGTCTCGTGCGCGCCGGGCAGCTGCGAAGCAGAATTGCGGCTTTTTCACGAATGTACGGTACTGTACATGCCAGGTTGTCGTTTCCGCGTCCACGAACATGCTCACGCGGAAACTGGGCATGCACAGTGCACACGGAATGAAGAGCAAATACACCCAGCATACAAATTGAGAACATAGAAATTTGACAACGACATAATAAGAAAAAGTAAACACCATACAGGATTAGAAGCTACGAGCCTGCAGAATATCGCCAAGCAACACCCGTCCTGCCACTAAATCCAACAAGTCTTGGTTGGCCTTTTCAGCTTCACCCAACCCCCAACACCTACAAAACCAATCCAGCCATTCACCACCAAACCACACATCACCCCTGTAACCCATCACCACACCAAACCCGACCGACTCGTTTACGAGCCCGAGCCTTGGCCTCGGCCAAGCCTTTAGGTTGGGGCCAAGGCTTCCAGAGGCACGCAAACTGCGCGTGATGCACGGACGAGTAAACCGCAACCTTTGCTCGACCACCCACGCGTCCCAGAGCTTGCTCTAGTGTGAGGCTGCAGTGAGGCGGCGCATATGCATCTCCCGGGCTGCACTGCAGCAGCATTGGGGGAAGGAAGTCAGCAGGCTTTATACTCCCTTCCACAATGCCTGATATGATTCTTTCACCAGTCTGCCGCCCAAATTCGGAGAAGAAAAGAGACAAGGCTACATCAGATGAAGGTGCATCTACACTCTCGGCCCCTCCTGTAGCTGTGGCATGCGTTTCCAGGCCTGCTGCTGCTACAGCTTCGGCCAGTGCTGAGAACAGGTTCGGAGGAGAGCCTCGCGCAAAGGCCGCTGGGCCCCCGACTGCTTCGACAAAGCAGGTGAGAGGGGCGGTGCTGGTGGTGACTGTATACGTGTGCATGTAGTGAAGGTCGAAAATGCCACTCAGTGCTATCACACAGTAAGGCTGGCGGGTATCTGTTATAGCCCTGTGCCCTTCAAACTGCTGCCGTTCACCCCGCTGCTGCGGCTGATGATAAAGATTATCATCATTAACACTCTTAATGTGACGGTGATCTGGATAAGCAGCTTCTTCCTTAGCCTCTCTGGTACCACTGCCCCCTCCCTTCTCACCTCCCACCGTCCCTGCCTCTCCTTGCCTCCTCCCCCCTTCCGCCCTCGCTGCCCTGCCTGCTGCGTCTGCTGCCCCCAACAGGCCTTCCTTGAAGCGGCGCCACATCAGCATGGCCACCGTGTGCGACCCTGTGAGTCAACAGAAGTCAATGCGAGTCAATGGGGTCAAAGGGGGCTAATTGGAGTCAACAGGGGTCAAAAAGACTCAACTGGTGCCAAAAACGATCAGCACGGGTCAACAAAGGTCAAAGGGAGCTCAACACGACTAGAAAAAATGGGAATCAAAACTTGTCAATGGAATTAATGTGAAATTATCTGTCAAGGGAGGGGTACAGCAGAGGGGCATGGATGAGAGCCACACCAGAGGAGTGGCCGCACAGGAAGACAAGTGCGGGGTCGTCACCATAGCTGTGGATGCCATCGCACACCCATGAGAGCGCGCGACAAAACACAGTTTTACAGATGAAGGACAGCACAAGAGGCGCACCAGAGGAGTGGCCGCACAGGAAGACACGCGTGGGGTCGCCACCGTAGCCATGGATGTTGTCACACACCCATGAGAGGGCCGCACCTGCCTCCTCCTGCTGCCCCTCTGCTAAGAGCTGGCGGGATTGGAAGGAAAAAATATGTTAAACGTATTACATGTAGACCTATTTATTGCATAAATGTTGGCCCAGAAAATGGCGTGATCAGAAAATGGCCCATGAGAGTTTCAAGTCCGACTTACCTCGGGGTAGAGGGTGTATTGAATAACAACCGCAATTGCCCCTTCGGCAGCGCATCTGGCAGCAAGGGGAGCGTAAAGCCACTTATCACCGCTCACCCAGCATCCCCCATGCACAAACACCACCACCCTGCACCCCTCACTCCTGCTACTGCTGCTTCTGGTAATGGTGCTGCTGCTGCTAGTGCTGTTGTTTTCGCTGACAGTGGCAGCGGTGTTGTCGTGCTGGGGATGGCGGTCGTGGTGATGATGATGGTGGTGGTGGTGCTTGCGGTGATGGTGGAAACTGGGCAGATAAATATCCATTCTGGATGGAAAGATGGGGCACATTCAGAACGAAAAGAGGGTGGTGAAGAAGACAGCAGCGGGCGTCGGAGGGAGGGAAAAGGGGGAGGGGAGGGAGGACGGAGTGGGGGGGGTGGGGGGAGAGAACGGTAGTGTGGGGCAGTCACTTACATGTTGCGCGGTCGATGCCCATATCTGACGTCAGTAACCACGTGAACTCGAGCCAATCGGAGAAGAGAACGAAAGGCCGAGAGTTGGGGACACACCCGGCTCCAAAACGAGCCGCGGGCTTTCACCAACCCGCTCAGCCGCTGCAACCCCGCCGCGATCCGCGCAACGGTCGCGACTACGCGGCTCCAAAACCGAGGAGGAACCACGCGGCGGGAAATCCGGCGCCATATTCGGCAGCAATGGCGGAGGAAAACGCGGGTGCGGGAAGCTAGGCGCAGGAGGGAGTAGAGGAGGAGTGCTAACGCGCCGCACGGGACGGTCGAAACGACACCAGCGAGCTCAGCCAATAGGACGAGAGAGAGACGCGACGCGACGGAGAGCTTCTGGAAAACGGTCGTTTGCTGGGTTACCTCCCTAATTGCCCCGCTAAATGCCCTTTTTAGCAGCTGTCCTAGCACCATTGGCAGCGAGCAGGATTCGATTTGAGTCTGGGGTGTTCAATTGGGGCGAATTGGGGGCACGTTAGTTTTCAATGAGCAAGACTGGGGAGGCCATACAATCAGCTTCGCGACGCATACTGTAAGGTAGAGCGCTGTTATCGGGACAACAAAATCAGAAATACATATGGTATTTTACTTACATAAGGGTATATAAAACAAGAGTGATCTTCCATTCCATCCTAGATTCCACATCAAAATCCAGATTTAAAGGCTGAATGTACGTACACATCAAGGAAATAAAAATACTACGTAAACTGGATGTTCCTTTCCTCTTACAATCTCAGCTCAAGATCCATCATTTTCATGTCAGCAGGTGATGCTGGTGACTCGTCTGTGACCAGCACATCAGGCAGCCCAAGGCTAAGCAGCCTCCCATCTTCCCTCCAAGCTCCACGGGACCTCTGCCTGCTCGCACCTGCACTCACACCTGCACTCACACCTGCACTCACACCTGCACTAGCATCCATAGTAGCAAACGCACTCGTACCTGTATTAGCTAATGCATTTGCACCTGTATTAGCAAATGCAATCGCACCTGCATTAGTGAATGCACTTGCACCTGTATTAGCACCTGTATTAGCACCTATATTAGCGAATGCAATATTGCCTTCGTTACCTAATGCATTTGCACCTGTATTCGCAAATGCATTTGCACCTGGATTAGTGAATACACTACCACCTGCATTGGCAATTACAC